TAGAACTGACATTTTCACAATGTTCAGTCTTCCTATCCATGAGCATGGGATGTTTTTCCATTTATTTAGGTCTTTTATGGTTTCTTGAAGTAACTTTTTATAGTTTTCTTTGTAGAGGTCTTTTGTGTCTCTGGGTTATATTTTCTTATCCAGTCTGCAACTTCCCATTTCTTAAGTGGTGCATTTTACCCATTTACATTCAGGGTAATTATCAATAAGCATGAATTTGTTGCTGTCATTTTGTTATGTGTTTTTTCATGGGATTGTTGATTTCTTTGTTCCATATAATTTTCTGTGCTATTGACTGAGTATATTTAATTTTAAAATATTTTAATGTCCACTCTACTATGCTGCCCAGTGATTAATGGAAACAATTGCTACAGAAACTATGAAACAATACACTGCTGGGGGAACTATCAAATGATACAACCATTGTGGAAAGCAGTATGGCAATTCCTTAAAAAGATGGAATTAGAAATACCATTTGATCCAGCAATCACATTACTAGGTATATATCTTAAAGAAGTGAGAGCCAGACAAGAACAGATATATGCACCCCCATGTTTATCACAGCACTATTTACATATAGCAAAGAGATGTCAACAACCTATGTGCCCATCAACAGAAGAATGGATAACCAAACTATGGTACATACACACAATGGAATACTATGCAACACTAAAGAATACTGTAGTACCTGCAAAACACCACGTAATGTATTGGAGGACATTATGCTAAGTGAAATAAGTCAATCACAGAAGGATAAATATTGTATTAGTTCATTATTGTAAAAAACCATGGAAATGTTTATATATGGAAGGAAATTTTCTTTGTCAGTTCCCAGGGGTGGGAGGGGAGGGGAGCAAACCCTGCAAAAATGAAAAAAAAAAAAAAAAAAGAAAAAGACCTATGAAACAAATAAGAGATCCTGGTTCTAATCCTGAGACTTAATTTTCTAAATTTTTAGAAATGGCAGTATAGCTATAATTGTTTAGGGATAACAGATGGTAAGAAGTTAAATCATGAAGGGCAATCTCAGAACACAGCAACCAGATCACACAGTCTACTTCTTATTCAAATTTGCTAAAGTTTGAATATTAGAAAGCATGACTTAACAATAATACTGTTGTTTTAGGTAATCTTGAGTTGGTCTTGAACTCGTGGAGATCCCATGCACAACTGGATCACACCATTGTGATCCATAAGGTTTTCACTGGATGATTTTTTTGGAAGTAGACCACCAGGCCTTTCTTTCTAGTCTGTCTTTCTAGAAAGCTTTGCTAAAATTCATTCAGCATCACAGCAATGCGCAAGCCTCCACCGACACATGGATGGTGGCCACACATGAGGTGCACTGGGTGGAACCGAATCCCAGTCTCCCATGTGGAAGGCGAGAATTCTACCACTGAAACTATTATGTATTCATGTAAAACCAAACTGAAGTAGGAAGAGGATTAACCAAGCAGGAAGAAAAAGTGAGCCTCTTTCTTTTAAAAACGTAACACTTACTGCCACCGCGTTTTATCCTTCAAGGAATTTTTCCTAGAGCTGTTCCCTTCACTGGGGCTGCCCTCCTCCTCAGTCTCCAGGCTTCGACTGCAGCTCCTGATGATCTGAAAGATGCTGTTGACGGTGGACTCCTTCTCCGAATTCTTTAAGCCATTTTGTCCCACGCGTTGTAGGAAATTATCTTGTCCACTGTAATCTGCAACAAACTACAGAGAAATATATGGAGAATTTGCTATTGCAACTTAATAAGATGTGCCTGAATAACCTACTTGGCTAGGGAAATGAAATCATGATAGTAATAAATTATGGCATTTGTGCATGTTTTATTGGAAAGAAAGCAAGAACCTCCAGGAAAAACATTTTTTCTTTAATTTCATCACATGAAACATCAAAACTCACTCATGTTTTCATTAAGTCCACTTTAGTCCCACTAGGAACCAAAACTCCACTTCGAGTTTAAAACACAAAAGCAATATTATTTCAAGGTTCTCTGGGGAGAAGGTTAGCCACTTTTCACAGGAAGGGCAAGGTTATTTTATCCTTGTACTGAGGAGGGAGGGAAAACTATGACAAAAGTATGTTATTCTGTGGAAGCAGATAAAGTTACTAGGACCTAAGGAAAATGTTGAGGAAAGGTGACATTTTGGTTTATTTCCCACGTAACTTATGGGAACACAGAGGCTTCTGGGTGGTTTTTAAGCTCTTATTGTCTTTATTGTTAAACAGGAAGTTTCTCCTCAACAGAGGCTACAGAGCTACAGCCAGGCCAAAAGATGTGATGTTCCCTTCCTAAGAAGAAAACCCATATGGGCACCACTTGGGAGCTTTACATTTTCACTTCCATTTCTTGCACTTTTATCCCAGCTCATAAACTAGAGAGATGCACACTGGAACTATAGCCTCTACCTGCCAGGTGATCTCAACTTTCCCTGGCACCAAGGTCATATTGTTTGCCAGGTAACACAGAGGTTGTCTTAGCCGAGTCTTCTCAATCTCACTATGAAGGTGTGTATGTGTGTGTATGTGTGTGTGTATGAGAAAAGTCCATAGTGGGTGCTGTCATCATTGTGAGAATAACCATAGCTTTGAGACTTTCAGGTACCTAAAAATTATCCACAAAGTCCTCCCTATTTTAGTACCTTCTTTCATTTAAAAATACTTTATAGGGATGTTTCATTATCTGTCCCTTCTAGTTTCTTAATGTCCCTTCTCTTGTCTTCTCTTAATGTGCCCAATGCCCTGAGTCACAACTCACACCCCTATCTCCACCATGGAAGTCAGGGAAAGGAAGGAGAGAGGCTGGGAGAACTGAGGCAGTCACTTTCCTGAGTGTCCTCCCGAAAAGGGTGACATAGCATTGGCTGCTCCTTTTCATTGTTCCATTTATTTAGAATCTGAATACTTCCCTTACAATTACATGCTCTCATTTAATTTTCTTTATCTTCTGCATCCAGACATTCTTACCCATTATGAAAAAACTCATCAACCTTCAAGAAAAAAAAACCCTCAAAACAAAAAAAACCCTTTTCCAAGTGTACTTATATATTGTCCAATTAAAACAAACCTAATAGTTTTAAGCCAATGACAGTGCCAGTAGACATTTTTTTTCCAGAACATTCAAGGATCTAATTGTTATCCAGTAGCTGGATTAAACTAATAAGTTTAATAACTTATTAAACTCTGCATTTGATAAGTTATCCCTTCTTGCAGGCAGATGTCAACAATGACCCTGACCTCATGATAATTTTGAAAGGCCTCACCTCTAAAGTTTCTTCTTGGGAGTTGTACCGTGGGCAAAGCTTCATGAGGCCAGAAGATCCATCAAGGACTTCGCAGAGCTCCTTCAGAAACACTCCACAGAACGGAACCACCTTGCAGCCGGGGATGTGCAGCGCCCGCGTCACCACCTTCCTGTACTCGCAGGAGGATTCGTGCTGAGCCATTGCATCTTTCAGGCTCCTCATGGTCTCAATGTCAGACTGGTCCATAAACTGCCACATTTTCAGGACTTTTCTTGACCTATTACAAATAAATGACATCTTAAAAATTGTGGTAAATATAAATGTAGCAAACCATTTGACATTTTGTCATGCTAACAAAAGAAAATGCTTGACATTTCAACCATCTTCACAAGTACATCCAGTGACATTAATCATGCTCATCACCTTGTAATCATCACTTTTATCCATTGCCAAATTTTTCCATAAAAATGACATTTTTTTCAGACTGACGAGAAGTAATATAGTTGATAGTAAATTGCCTAACCTCCATACAAATTCGTTCTTTTGACCTGTTGTTGTTGTTGTTATGTGCCATCAAGTTGGACCCGACTCATAGCGACCCCTCCTTGGGTTTCTGAGGCAGTATCTCTATGGAAGTAGACTGCCCCATCTTCCTTCCGAGGAGTGGCTGGTGGGTTTGAACTGCCAGCCTTTTGGTTAGCAGTCAAGTGCCTTAGGTACTACGCTACCAGAGCTCCTTCTTTTGACCTAAGTATTTTTAATACTTACTTAAGATTCATATTTCACATACTTCACAAAATGATAGTAACAATACTGTTATAAATGAGAACATAATATTAATTAAATATTAATTAATAATAATAGGACAGATCAAAACAAATACAGGCACATGTGATGAGTTTATTATTCAAATTAAGTTGGGTCTGAAAGTCAAATTGAACTTCAGGCTCCCTGGGTAATTCTAAGGTTATTCTTACATCAACTAAAATCCCTAATACATGGTCTGTGACAGCCAGCCTCCAAGACGGCCTCCAACAATCCGTATCTCTTGATATTCATACCTTGTATAGTCCTCACCTATAATGAATCAGTGCTTGTACTATGTGACCAAGACAATGTGGCAGAAGCAACAGGGTGTGACTTTTGAGGTTAGGACATAAAAAGCATTGCAGCTTCCACCTTACTTTCTCGGTTTGTTTACTTTGGGGTAAACCAGCCCCTATGCTGAGGACAGTCACATCCACGTGGAGAGGAAAGGAGTTCTCCAGCTGAAAGCCAGCACCATTTTGCCAGGCAAACACAGAAGGATTAAAAAAAAAAAAAAAAAAAACCATTGCCACGGACTCAATTCTGACTCATGGTGACCCATGTACTACACGGTCAGAGACTAGAATCGAACTATAGGGTTTTCTTGCTATAATCTTTACAAAAGCAGTCACCATATCTTTCTTCCATGGAACCACTGAATAGGTTTGAACCACCAGCCTTTAGGTTAGCAGCCATTGTAAGCTGCTTGTGCCAACCAGACTCCACATAGAAGGATAATCACCATTAAAACAGGTACCAGAGCTACCAGAGCTCCTTCATATAATGTAGGAATAATAATAGCACTTACCTCAAAAAAGTATTTTGGGATTAAAAGATATAATGCATGAAAAAAGCTTAGTCCAGTGCTTGACATACAGCAAGAAAGATAGATAGAAAAATAACAGTAAGGTATACAGAATGGGAAAGGGAGCAGAGATGGCAGTGATGGAGCTGACCGCTTAAGTAACCTGGTAATTTCATTCAATCTGGCAAGATCAAAGCAGGCACAGTTAAGTAGGCTCATGAATGGTCAACAAGGGCTGAACTTGTGGCATCTCTGAGGGTCAAGGCTTGCAGAGCTAAAATAATAACTACAGACTGCCTGGTTTGGGTAAATGAAGCTACCCTAGCAATTAACTGAGTGCCATTCAGATGTTAAGAGGAAACTATGCCCAGGTAAACATATTTCCCACTTGACCATACCTGAGGCCAGCCAAGAACTCCATGACAGCATTGTAGTTGCCCATGTTCCAGCAGCATTTGGCCACATGCACCAAATATGAGAAGACTTCCCGCTTCTCCTCCATGGAGCCTGCAGCGAGGATCAGCCATGTTACCCAGGAGCTCACCTGGAAAAGGCAGAGAGAAACACCCACTGAAATGATATCCTGGAAGCTTAGTAACTATTTTTCCACAATAATTTTTTTTTTTTTTTATATTAGGAAAACAAAATCTCAGCAAAGCCCCACCGCTTCTTTGTTATGGGATTTTGGAAAAGTCACTTAACTTCTCTATATCTCTTCATCTTCATGAATCTACAGATTGGGAAAGGTAATTCATAAAATCCTTCTTGAGCTATAGAATTCAATGAGACTATAGGAAAATAAGGCCTAAGGATAATTTTAATTTAAATATATTTAACTATCTTTCACAAATGTATTATTTGTGATGCTAACCAAATGACTCAATAATAATAATAACTAATACTTCCATAGTACATAATCATGGTCGTATTTTGGCTCTCTAATACCTTGATTATATCCCTCCTGAATTTAGAGACCATTTAAAGAATAGATTCAATGCATTGAACATCAATGACTAGAGGAATTGTGAGATGACATCAAGAACATCTTCCATGAAGAAAGCAAAAGGTCATTAAAAAGACAGGAAAGGAAGAAAAGACCAAAATGGAAGTCAGAAGATATTTTGAAACTTGCCCTTGAACAGAGAGTAGCTAAAGCAAGTAAAAGAAATGATAAGATAAAAGAGCTGAACAGAAGATTTCAAAGAGCAGCTTAAGAGCAGCTCAAGAAGACAAAGTCAATTATTACAATGAAATGTGAAAAGACCTTGAGTTAGAAAACCAAAAGGGAAGAACACACTCTGCATTTTTCAAGCTGAAAACTGAAGAAAAAATTCAAGCCTCAAGTCGCAATTTTGAAAGATTCTATGGGCAAAGTATTGAATGATGCAGGAAACATCAAAAGAAGATGGAAGGAATACACAGAGTCACTGTACCAAAAAGAATTGGTTGATGTTCCTCCATTTCAAGAGGTGGCATATGATCAAGAACCAATGGTACTGAAGGAAGAAGTTGAAGCTGCACTGAAGAAACTGGCAAAGAACAAGGCTCCAGGAATTGATGGAATGTTAATTGAGAAGTTTCAACAAAGGGATCCTAAGTTGGAGGCACTCACTCATCTATGCCAAGAAATCTGGAAGACAGTTACCTGGCCAACTGACTGGAAGAGATCCATAATTGTACCCATTCCAAAGAAAGGTGATCCACAGAATGTGGAAATCATCAAACAATATCATTAATACCACATGCAAGCAAAATTTTGCTGAAGATAATTCAAAAATGGTTGCAGCAGTATATTGACAAAGAACTTCCAGAAATGCAAGCTGGATTCAGAAGAGGATGTGTAATGAGGGTTATCTTTGCTGATGTCAGATGGATCTTGGTTGAAAGCAAAGAATACCAGAAAGATGTTTACTTGTGTTTTAATTGACTATGCTAACCAGAAGGCTGGCGGTTCAAAACCCACCAGCCACTTCTCGGAAGGAAGATGGGGCAATCTACTTCTATAGTGATACCGCCTCGGAAACCCAAGGAGGAGTCGCTATGAGTCGGGTCCGACTCGACAGCACATAACAACAACAACAACAACATGCAAAAGCATTCAATTGTGTGGATCATAACAAATTATGGATAACATTGAGAAGAATGGGAATTCCAGAACACTTAATTGTGCCCATGAGGAACCTATACGTAGACCAGGAGGCTGTTGTTTGAACAGAACAAGGTGATACTGCATGGCTGAAAATCAGGAATGGAGTGAGTGTGTCAGGATGGTATGCTTTCACCATACTTCTTAAATCTGCATGCTAAGCAAATAATCCAAGAAGTTGGACTATATGAAGAAGAACATGGCATCAAGATTGGAGGAAGATGCGTTAACTATCTGTGATATGCAGACAACACAACTTTGCTTGCTGAAAGTGAGGATGACTTGAAGCACTTTCTGATGAAGATTAAAGACTACAGTCTGCAGTATGGATTACATCTCCACATAAGGAAAAAGAAAATCCCCACATTTGACCAATAAGCAGCATCATGATAAATGGAGAAAAGACTGAAGTTGTCAAAGATTTCATACTACTTGGTTCCACAATCAACACCAATGGAAGCAGCAGTCAAGACATAAGATGACGTATTGCACTGGGCAAATCTGCAGCAAAAGACCTTTTTAAAGGGCTGAAGAGCAAAGAGGTTTCTTTGAAGACTGAGGTGCGCCTAACCCAGCCTGTATTTTCAATCACCTCATATGCATGTTGTAATAGTTGGAGCTGTGTGTCAACTTGGCTGGACCACAATTCTGTGTGGTTTAAGCTGTTGTGATGCGGTTATTCCCATGATGGGATCAGATGATTATGTTTTGAGCAGGCAATCTGTTGAAAGGGAGTTTTCCTAGGGGTGTGGCCTGCTTCCAGTATATCCATGACATCTTGGGAAGAGAGACATTCTTCTGTGAATCGGGATTCTGTTGTGCTGCCTACAACTTTCCATGAGTGAACAGTCCACCATTTGGCCTGGAGATCTTGGATTCATCATTCGTTGGAGTCAACAGCTGGTGTACTGCCTTGCCTGCCTTGAGATCCTAAGCCTTTGTGGTTGCAAGAGTTGGGAAAAGCCTCCAGCTTGACGTGGAAAAGCCTCCAGCTTGATGTTTGATCCAGGAACTTTGGACTTGCCAGCTTCTATAAGTGTGTGAGCCATTTTCCTAAGATAAATTTCTCTCTCTCTCTCTCTCTCTCTCTCTCTATCTCTCTATCTATATATATATAAGCTTTACTGTTTTTTGTTTCTCTAGAAAACCCAGCCTAACACACATGTGATAGCTGGACAACAAATAAGGAAGACCAAAGAAGAGTTCATGATTTTGAGTTTGGTGTTGGTGAAGAAAACTGAAAGTACCAGGGACTGCCAAAAGAATGAACAAATCTGTCTTGGAAGAGGTGCAGCCGAAATGATCCTTGGAAGTGAGAATGGCCAGACTTCATCTGACCTGCTTTGGTCATGTTGTCAGAAGGGACCATTCCCTGGAGAAGGATATCATGCTTGGCAAAATGGACGGTCAATGAAAAAAGGGAAAGGCCCTCAATGAGATGGAGTGACACAGTGGTTGCAACAATGGGCTCAGATATAGCCAGGATTGTGAGGCTGGCACAGGACCAGGCGGTGTGGCGTTCTGTCGTACATAGGTTTGCTGTGAATCAGAGCCAACTCGACGGCACCTAACAACAACATACAGTACATACTACTATGTATCTGGGAAGTGCAAACAGTTACTATGCTCGGCTGCTACCTGAAAGGTTGGAGGTTTGAGTCTATGCAGAGGTGCCTTGGAAGAAAGGCTGAGTGATCTCTTTCCAAAAAATAAGCCATTGAGAGGCGGGGCAAGATGGTGGACTAGGCAGAAGGATTGCACAGACCCTCTTCAACAAAGAAAAGGAAACCAATTAACACAGACACAGAAGATAATC